GGTAGTGTACGTGTAAGATTATTGTCAAAGAGTTGAAGGGAAGTAAGCTTCCCCATCCTTCCAATTTTTGAGGGGATAGAGCCGCTGATATCATTGAAATAAATGTCAAGCTCGAATAATTGGGTAAAGTTAGCTATGGAAAGAGGCAGCATTCCTGTAAGATGATTGTGAGAAAGTTGAAGATAATTGAGTTTCGACAACCTTCCGATTTCATACGGGTTGCTTCAATTGAGCTTGCAGTAGCTGAGATCGAGACTTACTAAGTTTGGAAAGGAAGACATGTTCAATTTCTCCAGCTCTCCCCCTAGGTAGAAACCAGAAAGTTGTATCGCAATGACATTTCCAAGCTCAATACAAGCTATGCCATAGCACTCGCAATGACTTGCAGTAGTGTTAACTGGAATATTAGTGTTCCGCCACCAATCAGTGCGGAGAAGAGCCTCTGCCTTTGCCTCTGGTGATGATGACTTTTCTGATAAAATAAAAGATGTTGCCATTAAGATAATATTAGCTGCTATCCATATTAAGTGTAGAATATTTGAAGGACATCATGCTTATTTGCACAGTGGATCAATGCATTTGGTGGTTGTATATACATAAGCATATATACTAGAGTGGGCAAAGGGACTCAAGTGAGAGAGTTCTTGTTTCCTCTTGATTAATTTCTGCCAAGTTTCCTGCTAAACTTCGTGACTATTGTAAATGATTCAAAGGTGCAATAATATTGGTCAAGCTTTTAATTGCTTTTGATTTTCGTGGCTATTGTCAATGATTGGAGAAGTTCTCCAGGATGCCTTCCCATGAGTGTTTCTAGTGCCACAACCCCATAGTTATAAACATCGCATTTCTCATTTACAACCATGGTGAAGGCGGTGAAAGCAAGTTCTATATCAGCAAAAAATATATATATATGTAAATTAAAAAATTACATGGTATGAAGTTCAAGAGCATGATTACTTTGTAAAACAGCAGAAGGTATTTCAAAAATCAAACATTAATACCATTTTATTGGACAAGAAAGAAGACAAATACGAGTAATTAATGGTATACCTGGAGCAACATATCCATAAGTGCCTGCCATTACTGTTTGATTCGACGAATCAGGATCTAGCATTCTAGCAATGCCAAAGTCAGAAACACAAGCACCCAGTTTTGAGTTCAAAAGAATGTTGCTGCTTGATATGTCACAGTGAATAACCACAGGGGAGCAATCATGATGCATGCAAGACAAAGCATTAGCAATGCCTTTCACCAGAGTCACCCTCTTAGTCCAATCCAATTCCATGGCTTCAACTTCATTTCTCAGGACTAAAAATAGGCTTCCCCGCTTCATGTACTCATAAACCAAGAACATGCGTCGCCTGTGTAGACAGAAACCGTAAAGCTTCAAAATGTTGAGATGCCGTATTTATGACAAAACTCGTGCCTCATTTCTGAAACTTTTATCGCAAGTTGGCTCCTCACCTTCCAAACGATGAAGTTGCTTCAATGCAACTACTTTGCCAGTAGGCAGCTGTGCTTTGTAAACAGTCCCATAGCCTCCAGTTCCAATGCAGTACCTGATGTCAAAGTCCTCAGTTGCTTCAATGATGTCCTCGTGTGCAATTGTTCCATCATAATTCCATGTTGAGAATATATCTCCACGCTTTGCTAGTGGTTGTTGATCGGCTAGGTTTTCTTCAGCTTAAGTCGAGAATAGTACCAAGATCCTAGAATTAAGGTGGTGAGAAGAATTGTGACTGAAAGAGAAATTGCGATATGGTGCACGAATTTGTTTCTTCTCTTGGGAGGAGAAAGAAGAGAAGGAGAAGTAAGAGAGCAAGAAGGAATGGGTCCGCTCAGCTTGTTCGGGAGAGGTCTAAATATTCCAGGTTGGACCAATTTATGATGTTAGATGGACTGGGTCTAAATACCGAGAAATTCTTATATAGTTCTCGTCCATTAACACTTGGTGAACCAGTTAAATACAGACTCTCAACATATTATGATTTCACTCTCTTCTTTTCAACCAATAATACAAGAGTCTTTTGAAAAAATGGTCCTACAGGAGTGTATTAATAAATTACAAGGTTTTATGAGTAAAAAAATTTCATTAAATTAGTCCATCAAGTATTACATAAATCAGAACTATTTAATAATTTCTCATAAATACTGGAATTTGGATACTGCTATGCTTGGTTTAACGAAAGTGGATCACATTATGGGCAAGGGAAAGAGATACCAAGTTGGTTACCGGTCCCCAGTATGCGTTTCTTTTATGCCAACCTGTTTTAACTTCACTAACTTAAATTTGGAATTTCGAAAATAGTTTGAAATTGAGGATTAATGAATGATGTTCGTTTATTGATTATAGATGGGCGACTTTGACATTTTGTTATTAGAATAAAAAAGTGTTTTTGTCCGAAGAGCTATCAAAAAAGTGTTTTTAATGATAGCTTATATAAAGTACTTTTCACAGTAAAAATATTTTTTACTATGTTTGCTAATAATATTTTCTAAAACACTTTTGTGATTAAGTTTACAATAATGTCCTTTACTAAAATGTTACAATATTTGACAATAACAACTGTATAAAAAAAGTGGTGAAATTATCTTTAAAAAAAAAATAAAAATGAATAATATTGTCCAAAGAAAAACAATTACTTAAAATATAAAACCTCTTATCATAACGAAATTTTGAAAGTTATAAATTTGAACTTTGATTCAAAAGTTCTATTGAACTAAAATTGGTAACTGTATTTTTAATGGTTATTAAATACATTGAAACATATATTTTTAAAAATAAAAAATAAAAATACTTTTAAGCATTTGAAAAGCAATCCAAACAGGTATCAGTTTTATCACTTCATAAAACTGAATTCCTTACAGTGTTGACCACTGAAACTTTCTTGAAAGAAATTGTGTTGACGAAACTTTCTTGTCTTGATATATTCATGAATTTCTTGCAGTATTAACTGACTGTCAAATTTTTTTTTTTTACCGATGGAATGAAGTTATTTAGTAAGCATTAACCTCTTAATACAATAAAAAGAATATAATAATAATAAACTAATAATGAGTTATATGTTAAGCATGATCAATTTTCTTATAATAAGGAAAATAAGGTTACACCTAATTTGATAAGTATTAACCTTGCAAACTAATGAAAATAAAATAGTACTAGTAAACTAATAATTAGATATTTCAAAACTAGTAAAGAAACAGTATACTACATTAAAAAATAATAATAATAATAAAAAAAAAAAATCAAGGCTAGTGACACTAGTGTACTACTATTATTGATTATTAATGTACTAACAACTTATCCAAATAAAAAGAAGTAATTGTATTAAAAATGAAGAGAACTCAACCCTTAAAATTCAAACAAGGATAAAAAAAAATTTCATTTAAAAGAATTAGTTAGTTGGATTACCAATTCTAAAAACTGATTAAAAAAAAAAAAATTATAATTTTCTTTAAGAAATAAAATTTTCAAAGGATTAGTATATAATTTAGATTTAAAAAATAAACAAAAAATATTACATATATAATGTGTAAATTATAATTATGTTCTGAGTTGAGTTCCTTCAACCAAAGTTAAGTTCGAATTGAGGTTTTACAATTAGAGCAATAGGGTAAAATTTGTTTCTAAATATTATATGAAAAACCGTTTGTGTGTAACTTAAAAAATTAAAGAAATAAAAAGAGAATATATTTCCTAATTTTCTAAAAATTATTTTCTATTTTGATTATTATTATCTTCATCAAACAATCCAATATTATCTGTCATTTTGACTGAGCAAAGACAAATAAAGAATGACGTTTAAATCGACTTTTTTATTCAAAGAACCACGTGAACACCGAAGAACGTTCCAATCCACGCATCCTTAACTACCACGTGGCGACACCCGCGCGCCCGAACCGACGCAGAATCGTCCACAACTCGCCACATCATCATCTCACTGTACACGTGTAACATTCCCAACCCAAAAAGATTCTCACTACCCCCTACTTTTGCTAAAGTAAACGGTGTGCGCAGAGTTACAGAATTACTAATGTATTACGTTTCCATCAACAACAGAGACAGTAGGAGTAGGATTAATATATAGAGTCTATATATTACGTGTGTTTATCTATATATATAATATATATGTGTGTGTTTGATTTAAAAAAAAAAAAAAAAAAAAAAAAAAAAAAAAAAAACTATTTATATCTATGCATATATTTTGACTCGGACTGTTTTTTCTCTTTCTTCTAAATCAGCTGATCTCTCCCTTGTGACTCTCTCTCTCTCCGAATACGAAACATTTTCCAACTTCTCTCTCCTCAGCTATGTGATTTCTTCTTCTTCTCTACTAAAAGAACTCTCTCTCCAGGTTGGTTCAATTGCTTTATATATATATATATATATATATATATATATATGTAAATGTATATATATCGTTTCTTTTGCCTTTTTGGTTTTTATAGATAGCTTCTTTGAATTGTGATCAATTAAAAATTATGGGGTTGCAAAGGGACGTTGATTTTGTTATCTTTTGTTTTTTTCTTAGTATATATCGTAGATTTCAAACTACAAGATTCTGTTTTTGATTTTTTTTTTTTTTAAATTATATGTAAATGTTTATTAAATAAGCAGACTTTTGAAACCCATTATTGTTAGACGAATTGTAGTCTTTTTCTCTAACGTAAAAAGGGTTTCTTAAAATTCAAGAAATCAATCACGGTTTGAAGACTTTTGTGTGTGTGTGCATGTGTGTGTATATATATATATATATGACAGATGATGATGATGATACAGTTGGATATGTACTGCTACTATCTTCTGGATAAGACTTAAATTGCCAGAAAGACACCGCTTCCATATCTCGTCCTTTCTCTGTGTTTGAAAAGTCTCCTATATATTCCCACACGAAATATATATGTATATATATATGCGTGTATATGTATATATGTAAACACTTATATAATATTCTGATAGGCCTTTGATCTTCTTCTACAACACAAAGCTTGCTGAAAAGATGGAGATTGATTACAGGCCTCATTTCAATTCCGAATTTGAATTGCTCATCGAAAGAATTCACCCTCCCAGGTCTTAACTTCAATTTATAACTCTATTGATCTTCACTTGGGCTATATATATATATATATATGATCTTCACTTCACTTTCTGTTTGATTCGTTAGCTTTATTTATTGTTCTTGGCTTTGCAGGGTTTGTATTGACAACGACACATGCCAAGACTGCACTCTTGTGAAGGTTAGTAGCTAAAAACCTAGAAGAACAATTAAAGTTTCTTTTTTATTTCTTAATCTTTTATCACCCCACAATATGTTTAATTTCATTCTTGTTAGTGGATGATACATTTGGTTTTGTTAATTCTTTAATTTATTTTAGAATTTTTTTTGGGTGGACAAATGGTCCCCGTCTGCTAAGATTCCACCTACTGGTATCAAAACAGCTGAGAAGATACAATTTACCATCTCTATCTCTCTCTCTATAGATATATATATATAGCTGAGAAGATACAATTCACCATATATATATATATATATATATATATATATATATATATATTGCTTGTGTATAGCTACCCTTACAAATAATGATTGTTGATGCTACTCTGTTTCGAGTCTGATTTGAATCTGAAGCTTGAGTTTAAATGATGCCCGTGATTTGTTGGGGATTTGGAATTTTAGAAAAAATTAGTCACTTAATTATTATTATATCCACATTAACAATAATTAATCTATTCTTTAGACATTAAATATATTAAGAAGCATCATACCCTGGTTCCATCCTAAGTGTAACAAGGGTCATTTGTTCCGCATCGGATCCGGATAGAAAAGTAATTAGGTATAAATAGGTAGGTTTGCAGTACTACCCAACAGTTTGAGTTTTTAAATAAATGGGTAAGCACCTACTCATTACCGTTAATATCAGAGCCAGACCCAGGCTTTGATCCGGGGTCACGTCAAATGTCCGATCCGGAGGACGTTCGGGTTTTTCACCCGAGTAGGTAAGGTGATTCGACTACAACGACGAAATTGCGTGGGTTCGGGTGGAGAATAATGACCCTCGTCGGCTTTAAATAGAAAAGTAATTAAATATATATAAAACACTATCAAACAGTTCAATGGGCAAACATTCACCCATTATACTAACCCAATATATAATGGTGGGTAGTGTGTGTGTTGAGAGTGAGAGAGAGAGAGAGAGAGAGTGTGTGTGTGAGAGAGAGATTTCTGGTCAACCCACCGAGAGGAGAGCCCCTAGGAATGGAAGATTGACTGATCAGAGACCAAAGCTTTTACTATGATCATTAGTTACTTCTTTTTCTACTTTTAATGTCAGTGTTGCAGTTATGCATGGTTGTGTTGTGTTTGGGGTGAAGACTCACTTTGTCTGCTTTTTATTTATTACTAGTAGATATTTTTACCTTCTCTTGATGGCAACCAGAAAAAAGTACTGGTGAAATCTAGTTACATTCAAACCAGGAAACAATCTAAAAATGACTCAAATAACCCTACTGTCACTGCCATTTTGGGGGCAACTTAGTAAAATGCGTTACCTTCACTACTCAGAAAAGTAAAAGAAAGTAAGACAAAGACCTATGACTGTAGAAGAAACCTTTTCATGTATATATGCTTATACATATATTATATACACTTGTGTATAGATACAGTCCATAATTTGTGCAATTCTAATAGATAGTTTCCAACATAAACTGATCAGTAAATTTATCAAACACTAAACCTTCGCTAGAGACCATATCATTTGAGCTAATGTACATTGATAATTTCTGTTACAGGTTGATAGTGCAAACAAGCACGGGATTTTGCTGGACATGGTCCAAGTTTTGACGGATCTTGATCTGGTAATATCCAAATCCTATATTTGCTCTGATGGTGGTTGGTTCATGGATGGTTAGTGCACCATTACTCTGCATTCTTTTATTGCCTGTTATATATATATATATATATATATATATATATATATATAAAGCAACAAAGGGCTCATTTTCCAAGTTAAGTATGTGTCACCTATGGCCATTGCTTTGTTATATTCATATGGGGTTGTTTTGGTTGCATGGTGACCAGTGTTCCACGTGACAGACCAGCTTGGGAACAAAATTACTGACGAAAGCCTTATACATTACATTCAGCAGGTCTCCCCCTCTCTCTCTCTCTAAATATATATATATACATATACATATAAGTATATATAAATTGATCCAAATAATTTAATTCTATTGTACTAATAAAAACAGTAATGGTTACAATTTGCAGGCACTCTGTGCAAGTAGGAGAGGGAAGAAGGAGCTCCAAACATGCCTTGGTAGAGAGATGAGTACACGACACGTGTCGACCGAGGACACGGCTTTAGAGATGACGGGGACGGATCGACCCGGGCTACTGTCTGAGATATCAGCTGTGCTTGCTGAGTTGGGATGCCACGTGACTGCTGCGGAGGCGTGGACCCACAACACCCGAGCGGCTTGCATAATCTACGTGGAAGACGAAACCACTGGCAGGTCCATCACGGACTCAGCCCGGCTGGCCCACATACAAGAGCTGCTGGAGAACGTGGTGGACGCCCACCAGCAGATGGGGGAGAGGAAGAGTGTAAGGTTAACACCTCCAGCCGCCAGCCGGACTCACACCGAAAGGAGGCTCCACCAGCTGATGTTAGCTGATAGAGACTATGAAAAGTGCAGTAGCTGTGGTGACGGTGGTGGTTACGGTGGCGGCGGCAGTGGTGTTGTATACAGAAATGAAAAGGGGCATGGAAAGGGGTGTGATGGGACCATAGTTACTATAGAGAACTGTGAGGAGAAAGGGTACTCAGTAGTGAATATGAGGAGTAGAGATCGTCCAAAGTTGCTCTTTGATACGGTTTGTACTCTGACGGATATGCAGTATGTGGTGTTCCATGCAGCAATTAGTTCAATGGGCTCTATAGCTGTTCAGGTAACAATGCCTACTAACCTCTTTCTCTAACTTCTGACAAGGACCGAAAATAGTTTGTCCATGCGGAAGTAAGACCGCATGCATGACCTTTTTAGACCCCTCAATGGCGGGATTCATTCTCGTGCACTAGGGTAGCCCTAACCTTGGCAATCTGGCAAATCAAATCTTTCACACACTATCTAACTAGCCTTTCGATACTACAAAGTACAAACCTACTTGTTATGGTCATCATGTTTTGTTTACTGTGAAAATCTCAGGAGTATTATATAAGGCACAAGAATGGATGCACACTGGACTTGGAGACGGAGAGAAGAAGGGTTATCCAATGCTTGACTGCTGCCATAGAAAGAAGAGTTTCCCATGTATGACTCAAAACTAGTGTGTGTGTGTGTGTGTGTGTGCGCGCAACCACTTCTCAATGGTCGAGGAAAATTAAGACTGATTATATATACCTGTGCAGGGATTGAAGCTGGATGTCAGCACCCGAGACAGGCTGGGACTGCTGTCAGACATTACACGGGTGTTCCGCGAGAATGGGTTAACAGTAACAAGGGCAGACATAGGGACACGAGGTGAAAGAGCAGTTGGATCATTCTACGTCACGGATGTTTCAGGGAATAACGTGAACCCGGACATGGTGATAGAGGTGATTCGACAAGAAATCGGGGGGACTGTCCTTGTGGTTAACAAATCTTCAGGTTGGTCTCCAGAAAATTCCACATCGAGCACAACCAGAAGCAAGGGCAATGGTGTGGAAGACAGACCAAGATTCTCATTGGGAAGCTTGTTGTGGTCGCGGCTTGAGCAACTTTCAAGCAACTTTGGAGTCATAAAATTATGAGTTCCTATGATAAGCCAGCTTCCATGTTGGAGCATGTATCTGTAAAGTATTTTTGTTGGTTCAGTGTGTTTTTTTTTGGCTCCTACGTAGTGAAAAAGCTAGCTTTCAATCATAATGCTCCTAATATGTTCATAGTAAGTTAGTAACCTAATCAATATATTCCCAGAAAATCCACGTGTCACTGGTATCAACCAAGTAGCACAGAATGATTTTGGCTTTCTATGGTACAAAGCAGTAGATAAAACGTAGCAACACAGAGAAGTATTATCCAGTGTGTGTGTGTGTGTGAGAGAGAGAGAGAGACATATACGGGGATATGGACGAGGAAGATAAAATTGGTTCAGCTTCCCACTTGATAATGCATGTTTTGCTCTCTTCTTAATTCAATTTTGGGAATAAGTGTAAATTAAGAAGGCTTTCGAGTAAAAAGTATGAATTAATTGTAATCAATATTATTTCTGCCCTCAAACTATCACGTTGAAAGAATTTCTTTTCCTTTATTGCCCCTTTTATTCTTCGACCGCGATATACAAAGTCTTTTACTATAGACAACAAGATAACCTTTTGTTTTTTTTAAATACTTGGATCAGCTACATAAATTCTATTTTTTCACACCGTGCTATCTAAAGCCATAATGTCAATTAAACCGCATGACATTTTCTTCCATACTAACTTTATTCATGTTAACTTTGGTCTTCTCTTCCCACAACATTACCATCAATGCAGACTATGTTACTCTTTCCAACTGGCTCACCTAGTGGTCTTCTTTGCACATGAGCAAACCATCATAGTAGATTCTCTCTCGTTTTATCTCTAATTAGTGCTTCTTTAACTATCTCATGAATATGTATATTTTAAATTCTATCTATTTTTGTCTTGCCGCGCATCAATATCGACATTCACATTTCTGCCACACTCACTTTATGCATATGTTATTTCCTAACTATGCAACATTCAGTCGCATTAAGGACAACTAATCTAATGGTTGTTTATAGAACTTTCCTTTCTATCTTACTATCTTAACGAGATCTGTTAATCGAACTAGATACACTCTTCCATTTAACCCACCGTGCTTTGATTCTATAATAGACATTATCTCCAATTTCTCCTTCATTATGTAAGACCTCTAGATGCTCTATATTACGCTCTCCCTAAATCAATAAGTAAAAACCTAATGAAGACCTTTCTTCCTCGCTCCATATCTTTCCATTAGTGTCATGCATAGTTAATCTTCCCCGCTGAATCCAAATCAATTTTCCGACACCTTAGTCTCTCGTCTTAATCATTGTTCAATCTCCTTATAGAAGTTTCATAGTGTGACTCGTTAATTTAGTACTACTGCAATTATTACAACACTGTATGTTCCATTTATTTTTATATATAGAGATCAAAATACTTTTGTGTCCCTCATCAGGTATTCTCAGTTGTTATTATCTTATTAAACAATCATGTTAGCCAATACAAACTATCTTTCCCTAAACACTTCTAAACCTCAATAGGAATGCTATTTGACCCTCAAGCTCTTCCTTGATGCATTTTAACCTGGCACTCCTTGACCCTAAAAAATATATATGTTATCCCTAAGTTTTCTATATTCTTTTGAGCTTGAACTTCCTATATGATTTTCATTTAACAATTTCTCGAAATTATCCAATTTTTTTCATCAACTTTTACTAAAATCCTTAAATCTATATTTTGCCTTGTTTACTACTTGTTTAACTTCGGTTAGAAATTTGTCTAAAATTTATTTATGACGTGGCTAAAATATATTGGTTGCTTAATGTGAGATTTGGTAATTGGCCAGAATGAGGTGGCATGGAGACATCGGCAATAGTGATGCAGGAAATGAGTTTGTGTATATGTGTCCCATGCTGGAATGTTCTAGAGACTAAAGTCAAAGTTTGTGGGCTGGAACAAACTTGGAGGTTAAGGAAAAGTGATGCCCAAGAAATGTTAGGTATCAATGAGCTGGAATGTTTGACTTTTCAAAATAGGTGGATATTCTGTTGGCTAATGGCGGCAACATTGGCCTATAAATATAGGCATAATGATAATCCGAAAGCATCCAGAGATTCAATTGAGTTTGTAACATCAGGTAGAGAGTGAGAATTTTGGTATATTTGAGTTTTGAGGATGAGTTATTTTATTTTGTATTTTTTTATTTTTATAGTGAAATATTATTTTGTCTTTCTTGGTAGATGTAGGTATAACCGAATCACATAAATCTTTGTCTCGTCTGTGTGTATGTTATTTTATTTTTTTATCATTTATTTTTCTCTTATTCTCATAAACTCCTATTCGATCCTTATTCCATAACAAACTGGTATCAGAGCTCGGTTCGTGTATTGTGTACAGATACAATTCACACATACGATGCTGTACATAGATACTATACATGTACTGTTCATAAATACGGTACTATTCACCGAGAAATATTTTGGAAGTTTTTGAGATGACGATCAGATACGAGATTGAGAAAGTTGATGACAAGATTAGCTTCAGTCTTTGGCGCATTAAAATGCAGGCCCTGCTGACTCAGCAAGGTCTAAAGAAGTTATTGTTTAGGAAGGACAAGTTGCCAACAACTATGTCCAATGAAGATAAGGATGAGATCGATGAAAAGACACGCAGTGCGATTCTTCTGAATCTAGCTAATGAGGTACTGCATGAAGTTATTGATGAAGACACGGCAACAAAGTTATGACTGAAATTAAAAAGTCTGTATATGACAAAGTCTCTCACCAACAGACTCTACCTAAAGCAGACACTCTACACCCTTTGTATGAAGAAAGGTATGCCTCTAAAAGAGCATATTGATAATTTCAATTCTATTATTCGAAATTTGAAAAATACTGATATTAAAATTGATGATGAGGATCAAGCCCTTCAACTATATACAGACTGTTGGTGAGAGATTTCGTCATATACAGACTCTCCAATTTCAGCCATATCTTTGCCGCCGTGTCTTCATCAATAACTTTACGCAACACCTCGTCGGCTAGATTCAAAAGAATCGCACTGTGCGCCTTTTCATCAATCCCATCCTTGTCTTCATTGGACATAGTTATTGGCAACTTGTCCTTCCCAAATAACACCTTCTTTAGACCTTGCTGATTCAGTAGGGCTTGCATTTTAATGCGTCAAAGACTGAAGCTAATCTTGTCGTCAAATTTCTCAATCTCATATCTGGTCCTCATCTCAAAAACTTCCAAAATATTTCTCGGTGAATAGTACCGTATTTATGAATAGTACCTGTATAGTATTTGTGTACAGTACTGTATGTGTGAATAGTATCTGTACACAATACACGAACCGAGCTTTGATACCAGCTTGTTATGGAATAAAGATCGAATAGAAGTTTATGAGAAAAAGAGAAAAATAAATGACAAGAAAATAAAATAGCGCACACACAAACGAGACAAAGATTTACGTGATTCGGTTATACCTACGTCCACGGGAAGAAGACAGAACAATATTTCATTATGAAAATAAAAAGATACAAAGCAAAATAGCTCACACCCAAAACCCAAATACACCCAAGTTCTCACTCTCTAACTGATATTACAAACTCAATTGATGATTTCAGATGCTTTTAATTGGATGAGTGTAAGGCTATTTATAGCAAAAAAAATATATATATATTTGGTGTTCAAGTATATTATAAAGCTTCCTTTGGAAGCCAAATGGCACAACCTGCCCAAGAATAATTCTTGTAGCCAATATACTTCATTCTCTTGTAAGCTTTGTGCAAGTTGGATTGTAATAATTTTTGAGCCGCATAATTCAACAACTTCATTATTGGCATTTTTGTATTTTTCAAAAGTTTCCCTATTATTATTTTTTTTTTTGATTTAGTATTCCCGATTTTTGTTTTAAGATAAGATGTTTTGGATTCACCGCATTCCTTTTGATTATCCTAAGCCTTATTTTGCTACTCTTTTAATACATGCAGTCATCTAATTCCACATTAAATTTGTTTCATCTTTTGTAGTCCATGTTACTTTTCCAATGACCCATTCTTAAATAATTATCTCCGCTCTTAAATTCCACTATCTAGTTCTTAGATTTACAACTCTTTTTGTCCTTCTGGATTGTCCTATATATACATCTAAAGATAATAGAATACATACATCCAAATCTCATAGTCTATGTTGTGATGCTAAACTCTCTAGTGGGATAACCTTAAAATCTTGACTTGTTAATCGAACTACCTCTCTAGTTTTTTTTTTAGTTTTTTAGTTTTTTAAAAAACAAAAAATTTTAAAGGAGAGGATCTGTGCTTGCTGCAACTTCTTATTCTTACACCACTAAATAACTTTCTGTATAACTCATATTTTGCAAATTAACCATACGATTCAACGATTTTCTCAACATAATTATCAAACTTCAAATTGATCAAGATATTAACATATGCCCCATTCTTATGGCACTTAAAATTATAATAGATTTTATTATGAAATTTAAGTGTAGGCTTGGACACCCATTTACCTCCTATGACTTGAAATTTAGCAACGCTGATGAGCAAAGAGGAACACTTAATTCGATGATCGGATTTTCAAAAAATAAGGATCTTGGAAGAAAAAAAAAAAAAATACATTTAAGGAATGAAAAAAATACGAAGTCAGTACCAAGTGTCCTAAAAAAATACATTTAAGAAATAGTTTTTTGTTTCTTTAATTTCGAAATGTCATTCTTGACAATGCTTGACATAGAAATCTACATATATATATATATATATATATATATATTATGTCCATACGACACAATTCCCAGGGAAAAAAAAGGGTACAAAAATTGACAGAAAAGAAGAGAAAGGCTTTGCTGGTATTGTTGTCTTATACCATTTAATCCCCTAAATACTAAAAGTACTCAGCTACCAGGACAACGCTCTAATGCTCTGCTCGGTAGGAAGAAAGGAAGAGAGCTAGAGGGAAAATAGGAAGGAATGAACAAACTTTCTTTGTTGAGAAAGGATAATATGAAAGATGAATAGAAAGGAATGAACAAAATTCCTTCGTTGAGAAAGGATAATATGAAAGATGAATCATCTTTCCTCCTTTACAAATTTTCATCCCTCCAAATATTGGCGGAAGAGAGGAGGAAAGACCAAGTAGTGCTATTAAGGAAGTTTTGAATTACAATACTACCCTAAATTTTACAACTTTTAAATTAAAATACTATCTTCTCTAATTTATAATATTTTAGATAGTGATGGGTATAATGGTAAAAACAATTTAAAACTTTTTATTTCCTTCTCTCTTGACGAACACAATAAATTGTAAGCTTATTATCTTCTCTTTCATCAAATTGAGCAAAAAAAGGGAACGACATAGTCTCTTCTCTAGGAATGTTTCATCCACCCATTCTTCTCCACATTCCATCCAAAAAAATTTCTTTCCTACCGAACAAAGCATAAGGAACAAGGTTCACTTAACTAGGAAAATAATCAACAAACACAATAGTTATATCCACTAGCATGCTCAAAAATAACTCAATATCTAGGGCAAGCACTTTTGAGAATTAGTTTTTGCAACTTTGTTTAGTTTCCATTTTATCATCCCTTTCTGCTCAGTACATTTTTCACTTCTGTTCTCTATTTCTCCACATTTTCACAGCAACAAAGAAATTGGGAGAATTTCCTGAGTAAGGTCCATTGCACAGTGAGGTACATAGGGTAAAATCTAAGCACTAAACATATAGCTAATGCACCGGTACGTCCTGAAGAACATTTTCACAGCAACAAAGAAATTGGGAGAATTTCCTGAGTAAGGTCCATTGCACAGCAAGGTACATAGGGTAAAATCTAAGCACTTAACATATAAAAGCTAACGCGCCGGTACGTCCTGAAGAAGATTAGAGTAAATCCTGCAAAGCTTCAAGTTGAAGCCTAATGCTCTGTACCAAGGGTCCTTATAATTAGGGGACTAAAGAGGATGTTTAATATAAAAGACAACGACTCCAGCAAGGAATTATAAACAATCATGAATGTAACTTAAGTAAATTAAAATCGAGAACCTACAGATCCGTGCTAGTTAAATTAGGTATCATATTTAAACTGATACACTCTACAATTAGAAAATAAAATTAACTGAATTCCAGGTCGATATCTTAAGCAAAGAAACAAAAAAGAGAACCCACTCTAAACATATCCAAGAAGTTTCACAACTATATATGAAATGAAGGGTCATAGGGGTTATTACCCGGTATAGTCTCTGTCAATTGAGTGTCGGAAAGATATACCAGATATGTACCTAACTATTGATTATATGTTAATAGTGACACCTAACATCTTTGGTTGGGCATGCATCAAATAAGCATGTTTATAAATAAATCAAATGTGTCACATAATTGTAAATAAAACTCTTTTATTATTGTTTTTTGTTCCATTATTACTTCAAAATGAATAAAATGCCAATGTTGAACAATATGTGTTGGATAAGGAAAATTTTCTTACAAAATAAAAGAAGAATATTGAAGGCGTAAGCATTTACCAATATCCAAATGTTCTTGGGTTTGAAGATAAATAAACATATCCACACTCGTCACATGTACCCAAGTACATGTAGCATAAAAAAAATAACAAAAAATTCATTTGAACTATGTTTGTATAACATGAACCTTTTTAAAAGTTAAAATAACAGTAATCCAGATTTAAACCAAAAATAACTCAAAAAAATATATATATATCCATGGTTAGAAGACACATTGCTGGAACGAAACCATACATCCCAAGCTGATGGATTATGAGTTGAGATTATGAGAAGCACCTAGATCGGTCCAGTTCTAAGACAGTGGATCAACTGAAACTGATGCAAACAGCAAACCTGCCGGCATAAGTGACACCTGTCTAAATACGATATTAATAAGTATACCGAGATCCAGAGGATTGCTTAGGTAACAAATTTTCTTTAACACCAATGGGTTCGCTCAAGTGGGTAAGTCACTTGGCCCCCAAGTCTAACGTTCGACTCCTCTTGGGTGCAAGAGGATGAGAAGGAAGGGGGCCGGGGGGGGGGAGGGGGGTGAGTACCAACTGAGAAAAAAATATATATGAATGATATGCACCACATATGCTGACAGAAGAAAGACACTAGAGTAATACTTGCATCTGAACATTTAGCCTTGTAAACTTTTATGTCTCTCTGATAAAACATTTTGTACGCTTATGATGTAATAATGACTCACAAAACATCTCCTAATGTTTATATGGGAATTTACTAAATTTTTCTATTGCAAATTAAGTTTCTCTAAATTTAATCCTTTTTGGGGGAAAAAAAAAAAAAAAACGACAAACCCACCCCAAGAAAATTAAACCATGGAGTCCTTACCATCTTTGATAAGATTACACTAATATGAGAATATGACCTATAGAACTTCTACCTTCATTGCTAGCATATCGCCCATTAGGACTGCTGAATAACTTCACATATTCATTAGAATATGACATAAATTATTGAATGGGCAAATTTTACATTTTTCTAACATCAAAGTTTAGAAATATATAGCATTTTTTCTTACACAAATAAACACCCAATTTATAATGGGCTTTATATACAACCATTCAAATCTCAAAAGTCTAAATGCAGAAGAACAAACAGTAAACAACATATTCACATAATGTAGATAGGCAGGTAGTACATAAATCATAATTGAGAAGGTTTTCACGTTGATGTCATACCACATCAATGTCATCGACATTAAGCCAGTCATTAGATTCCTTTCTTTCAGGGTTATGGGCACTTACCTGCTCAGATCCAGTATGCTCAACACTAACAGCACTGATATCCTTAGAAGAGTCAGCAGAACTTCTGCTCAACTGAACCCAATCTCGCGAGTCTTTTGTTGAAGAATCGGATCCAGATGTTACTTTTTTGTAACTTGTAGGGACATCTTCATCATCATCCTCCAGATCACTGAATGACACATCCTCATCATTTTCAATAGGGATGGTGGTTCCACCATTTACAATCTCAGAGCTTTCTTCCTTTAACCAATCATCGCCGTCATCTTCATATTTCTCTTCCAGAACACTAGAGAAGCGAGAATGAGAACTTTCATCATTGGTCCAGTTCACTGGACCTTCCTCAACAACAGACTTGTCAATAATTTGAATCTCAGTACTTGGGATTGGGTGCTTCTCAGTCTCAAAATCTGCTCCCACTGTGGAAGTGGCTAATGCAATGGGGGAAGCCTCAAGTGGCACAGACTCAGATTGAGCATTAGATGGTACATAAGGATGGTCTTCATGTGTTGAGTTACTGATGTCCTCTGAATAAGAAGTGCCCCTTCTTCGGTTCTGTAACCCCTCAGTCAACAAGGCTCTGGCTTTCATTACCTGCACTTAACATCAAGTTTCCCATTCAACCAAGCTAAAAGAAAAAATAATTGTAAGTTCAAACATGCATACAATGATAAATTGCTAATAGTCAAAAACCTTCTGACCTCATCTATTTTAGTTAGACACTGATAGAAATAGGAGCATATACATGCATACATACCTACATATATATATATATATGTATATATATGATTGACAGTAGTATTCTTTGCCTATCTAATACCTTGAATTAATGAACAAGCAAATTCCTTGTGGTAAATCTTACCATATAATTACAATTAAGATTAATGGTCAAGTTCCACTACTTTTATCATTTGCAACTAATGATCAAAGGAACTTCCATTTAAGAATCTTCTTGAAGCACAAAATTCAAACCCTCTTGATCAAGGAGAAAAGACACAAACTAAACAAAACAAATAATAAGTTGGTTGGCATGACATATATGACATTTTTCGTAAAAGCAGGTAGCACGCTAAAACAGTATCCATAGTATCTTCTGTACAACTTGCTCCACCATGAGGTCTCTTAGATCGATTTATATTTAGCATTTTTGTTCATTCAGCAGTTCTCAGTAAAGTTTCACAGTATCCTTGTGGAGTCGCTATAATCTTCTTCACAGTGAAAAAACAAGAACATTCAAGAAGTGGAAATTAGAACAGTAAAATTAACCAATACATGATGTGCTTGAAAAAACTACTTTTATCATTTTCTGGGATATGTAATGAGTTCTACGAGCATGCTAAGGATGTAAAAGATAAGATTACCACCTGACCAACAAACTCCAAATGTGCATTTTTTTTTTAAAGGCGGGGGAGGGGTTTCTATCAAAAAGAGAGAGATGATCACTTTTTGACATTAAAACATGGACTTGGCTGTGCTATGAAGCACATTGGTCGTTGTTTGGATTTTGTAGTGCATTTCATAATGCCGAGTTTCACAGGGGCAGATGTTGAGAAACTGGTTATAAGGTTGTGTGAGTAGAAGATGCATATGGTGTACTCGGAAGAGACAAAATTAGCATTTTTTCCTTTGACGATATTGAGGCAAAAGCATATGATGCTGATTTTCTGAGAGATGTTCTAGGAAATACTCTCTCTTCTTTTGTGGACATGCCTCTGAGTGTGCATCTGACAACAATTGTGTATAAAACCTACTCCGCATCCACACTATGTTGGCATGAGCTCCAAACAATCTTCATACATATTGAAAAGTCCATGTAACAAATCCTGTATATAGGTAGAGCCTCCTACACCAAGGGAAGGGGAAGGGGAAGGGCTGATGGAAATCATAACATAATGAAGGAGGTAAAAAGAAAAAAGATTACAGGGTTGCATGGAACCAACTTACCTGGGGTGTCGAAAGGAGTTCAGCATCATGCCTGCTGAGTCGAGGATGCAGAAGTACAAAATAGATCTTCCAAAAGGAATCCTCACTCATATAGCCTGGGCAAAGTTCAATTCTAAGAGCAGCTAATCTTGGAGCAAAACGTTCAACGGCCAAAGCATGCTCTTGTTGCACATCAGACATGTCAAAATCTGGAGAGAGAGAATACCATAAGGTGCCTGACAACAGCTTGTATCACATGGAATATCTACATTAACATGCCAACAGAAATGCATTTGATCTTTGAAAGTAGAAAACCCCTCTGTTTGTGTAACAGCACTTGCCATGCAGCCAAGAACATAATCATGAGAATGGAATTTCTAATATACAACCCAAGAAAATGGAGGGAATCAAAACTAAGCAGCAATGCAATGGCATCCATGAGGATGCTCTAAAATGTCTCAATGAGCCTCAAACTTGAAATATTCTCATTTCTCTACACTGTTGGTATCTATGAGTCTGAGTAGTTAAACTATGTACAAGAGAACATATCTATCTAGCCAGAATAGTCAGAATAGAGCACGCCCTGTATCATTCTCACAACAGCAGGGAGAAAGAGGTAGGCAAAGATACATGATCAAGATAAATAAAAATGTAGTCAATACCCATATCTTCTTTTATGAGATTCCAACTTTCAGCTTGTGATCCTTATTTTATAACTATAATGTGACTACATTGAGTAGACATGGCCTTTAATAAAAATTAAAATAAAAAGAACTACCCGATTTTAGATTCTAAAAGTCTCTTGTGCTTCGGTTGATGATAGGTGATTCCGTTACACACCCAATATATAAAATTTTAGCACCCAAAACTTAGAAGTCAGTGTGACAACACTTCTCCATTTCATCTTTTTCCAAACTGTTCTCCGCCATCTCAGCTCTCTTAGAAGTTTCCAAACAAGGGATTACACTAAGAGTGGTTTCTTCAAATTCTATGTAATTCCTAGTAACATGGTAGTTTAATGTTCATAAAAACCAATCAAGTTTTGCAAGACAATTCGAAGATAAATTATTACTATCTAATACTAATCATAATAGGGCCCCCATTCATGAATGATTATAAACACCCATTTTAGTATTATCACAAATATTAAACAAAAGATAGGTACATTTTCATCCCTAAATCAAACTCAATTAACAGAATGCACGCGCAGGCTATAACAGCTACTAACTCCACACTGAGTTTATCCAGTTCATAATCAGATCAAAACGCATCAACACGAATTTCTGAAACACACATATATAACTAGAAAAACTAATTAAAAAATGATAACAAATTCAGAAACTGTAGAATCGAAAGAACCGTACCATCATCTTCATCATCATCATCAGGCAATGGAAAATCCAACCACGTCTCAGGATGCATCGCGATATCCCTCACGAAGGCCACCACTTCTTCCGTGACACCGACGGCACCTCCCACCGAATCATAATCCTCCTGCTCCGCTCCGAATTGAAGAAAATCCGAAGCGATCTTCGTGATATCCGACACCGCTATGTTGCTCGACAGCTTCGAAATCCCACTCCTGAACTTCCCTCCGATCTCCGCAAAGTCGCTGCGTATTCCGGAAATCCCCGCCGTGTCGGTGCCTTCCGGATTGGAGACCTTGGGCGACGGAGAGAGTTCTTCGGCAGGTGGTGGAGCGAGAAACGATGCCACGCCCCATAACTGGCGAGTTAGGGTTTTGGTGATCTCCGACAGGTCATCTTTGACGCCTCGTGCTGGCGGTGAATCTGGTGGTGGTGGTGGTGGTGATGAGTCGATCTGATGGTGTTGGTCGTCTCTTTCTCCCTCTAGATTGTTGTTTCTCTCTCTAGATTGCTCATCTTCGTCGTCGAATCTGAGAGAGTTTGCGATGGATCGAGCAAGCCATGACATTGTTCAGATCACCGACGAGGAACTTCCAAGAGTTGAATCGAATGACTTGCAGAGCTTGAAGAAGTTGTTGGATCAGACTTCTTGACGACGCCGTTCGAGGTTGTTGATATACGCTGTCGTTTTACTTCACATTCACGTTTTTGCACAAGGTTTTGTAGACAAATCCCCACTACTATTTTATTATTTGCCCCTAACAAACAGTACCCCCGGGGTTTGGGTAAGCCCTTGTGAAATTTTTTATCCAAACAGAGCCTTAAAACTTGTAAACGTCCATTTTACCTTTTACTATTTTATTAATTTTAATTATAAAATATCAAAATATTTAAATAACCAAACTACCATTTTCATCTCTTCATATATGTATACGAATACAACCACACAACAGTCACCACCACCCCCAACCCAGACCGGAAGATGAGAGAAAACCAGGAATAAACCAAAAATAAACTCTAAATCATCAACTTATAGGAATTTCATATCAGATTTAAAGCAAAAACGCCGACACGAAGAAGAGACCAGCCACAGGTCCACCGACCGTCACTCTATTCAAAGCGGCGCCATTGGGAATCGATGACGGAGATTCTCTCGAAGCTAAAGAGAATGACGGAGGCACGGCGGTACCGGAGGGAGACGAAACAGGAGCATCTGAGGTTGAGGGAGCAGGCGGAGAAGCAATCGGAGAGGAGGTTGTTCCTATTCGTTTAGTCGCTGCCGTCACACCATCAGCCGCCTGATTGTTCGACCACGAATCGGCCACGACCTGAGTCATGCCTATGTTGCTGCAGTTCTTCCAAGCCTTGATGTTCAGCTGCCTACAAAATTCGAAGGAAACCTAAAGATCAGAGACGACAAACCATGTACACCGAATGATCCATGACTCAGTGACGAGTTGGACTTGCTGGAGATTTGGCCGAAACTCGGCTTCTGCGGCTGCGGAACGACGGAAAAGTTAGGATCTGAACGGCACTTGAAGGACGGGAAAATCCATGACTCGAAGGGGAAAATCGAAACAAGAAATGAACGAAAGAACCATGGAGGAGAGGTGGCTAGCCGTCGTCGCCACCGCCCGTCGGCCCCTTCCGTGTGTGTATATTTATATGTATCTGTATATACCTATATATATGTGTGCGTGGATATGTGTGTGTTGGTGCTGGGGCGGCAAGAGGAGGAAGAGAGAATACAGAGGAGAGAGGAAAGAAATGGGTATAGGTTTGAGGGTAGAAAAGTCATTTTAATATTTAAATTGGTCAATATAAAAGTCAAAGGTAAAATTGTCACTTTATTATTATTTGGGTGTCTTTGCTAGTTATATCAAATCTTAAGGTGTGTCTTTGTCTCAAAATAGAATAAGTTGTATCTGTATTTTTTTTTGTTACTATACTTTATCCTAGTATTTTTTTTTTTCAAGATTAGGTAAGACTAACACTGATTCATTTATACTCGTTACATATTTTATTCGGATTCAATGTTGAACAAGTTCTACTTGTAAGACTTACGTAGGCAACCCATGAGATAATTAACAAATAGTATTAACTTTCGTGACCTAAATTTTGCTAGTGGTATTTGTTTAAAATTAAGTATATTTTGTTTTATACACTTTGTAAGATTTATAGCGAATAAATATGTATTATGACTTTAAAGTCTTCAATAATATAATTCAATTCAATTTAGAAGTATAGATTAGAAATTTTGGCTAAAAAAATAAATAAATAATTAAATGCAAAAGAAAACAATCATAGAAGAATTTTATTTATTATTTATTCAAAAACATATATATTTTTTTTACACCATTAAAAAAGATAGTAAAGAAATGTCAATAGGAAAATATCAACATGTTTAAATAGTCAAACCAAAAATAGTTTTTCGTTGCTATTAATTTTTTAAAAGCAATCATTATTGTAAAAGCTTATGTTATAATTTTAAAAAGTTATAAATAGGATATAGATATATTAATGTCAAAAAGCTTTCAACGCAAAAAAATAAAATAAAATAAAATAATATTGTTTTTTAAGATTTAATAGGAGTTATTGGTTTGAATGTGGAGAATTTGCATCATGACCACTATCAATTTCTAAAAACATATTTTCCCGTGTTAGTAGGGACACTGGAAAATAAAGTGTTGTAAGAAAATGAAATTTGCTGCAATAAGAGCAAACTCCATGTATCTTCAAAATTTAGCAATCTAAATTTGTCACGTCTTTGTTTTTTAAGAGTCACGTCTTTGTTGTCAAGAGTTAACATTTTAAACTCTCCAAATTTTAAGTATTACATGTGCTCCAATAATGTGTTTCCGCTCTCTAAAAATATTAATATTTTTAAATTATTAAAAAAATAACTTTATTCCAACAATTATATTTCTAAAAAAGAAATTAAACAATACAATAACCATTATAAATTAAAATAAATTAAAACACTACTATATTCATTATAAAATAAATTATTTATTATTATTATTATTATTATTATTATTATTATTTTGTCTTTTTTCATTTAGGAAAAAAAAAAAAAAAGAATAATACAATATTCATAATATTCATTAAGCCTTTAATGCAGTCACTGCGCAGATATATTTGAATTTTTTTTTCTTTTTCTACTTAAAAAAAAAAAAAAAAAAAAAAAAAAAAAAAATCCATTTGTGTCAAACTAATTGGAAAATTTTTAGCAAATGACTAGTTTGGACGTCATAATTACAAATACAACATACCCTTACCTTTTAAAAATATTCTCAATTAGACCATCCACAGCCAACCTTTTTTCTTCGACCAAACATTCCGATGAATCATCCCCACCACTGCCACACCTCAATCACCCCCATCTGCGAACCACCACCACCATTAATATCAACTGTTGCCATCACCCAAAACCACCACAGTAAGTGAAACGAGTGGGCGTTTTTCCATTTATCCAAAAGCTCGAGTTATTGGATAGTATTGCATACCCACCCATTTATACCCATATTACTTCCCATCCGGATCTGATGTGTGATAAGTCTCCCCTTATAACATTCTCCTCCACCCGAACTCACAACACCTTTGTTACAGTCGGGCCACCTAGCCTATCCGGGTGTCCGGGCCAAACGCTTAGGTATGGCACCGGATTAAAGATTAGGTCTGACTCTGATACCAACTGAAACGGGTGGGCGCTTGTCCATTTACCCAAAAGTTTAGGCTATTAAGTAGTGCTACATACCCACCCATTTATACCCATGTCACTTCCCATCCGGATCCGATGTGAGATAAGTCTCCCCTTATAACAGTAAGCCATAACCCATGTGTATATATATATATATATATATGCCTATGTATATATACATTAAAATCATGAACCACAACTACCCATCATTTCTCTCCCGTGAACCACCATCATCACCCACCACTCTCCGGTAAGAAATTCTAGTGAACCACCACCAGCCTCTCTGGCTGTTCTTCTACCATATATTACTCTCTCTATATATTTTATTCTGTGATGTGTTCCAGCTTGAATGACTACTTCTTGTTGTGGATGATGAGCATTGAATATTGCATATTCGAACTCTTAAACGTGCGTATGTTAAAACCTTAAGTAGTACTTCTATCCAGTTTTAGACGGATTTGAGTTTACTTTGCTTTTGTAGGTACTTTCTTAAAAAAATGGATAAAATCGGGATTTTATGATAAAAAGACTAATATCGAAGTTTATAGAGTCATTGCCGATCATCTGAAGCAAACGTAGAGTCAAAATGGTGATTTTGAAAAAGTTCAAGTACCAAAGCTCGAGCACAAATTCCACAGCTCGAGCACAAACTCAATTCAAGTAAGAAAAGCAACCAAGGCCAAAAGGCTGGAGCAGAGACTTAAGGTGCTCGAGCCTTTGCAAAAGGGTTCGAGCATATATTATCTCAGAATATAAAAAGACGCTTCGGAAGTTTCATGTTGCCAGACCTCGAGCATAATCCAAAAAGCTTAAGCAGAAGTCCCAAGCAGGCTTGAGCACCCAAGCAAGGTGATCGAACACCATGAAAATATTATCCCAAAATATTTTAAGTGTTGATGAAAAAGACGCTTCGGAAAAGATTTGAAGAAAAATGACTAAATATAGAATTCCTGCTCAAGCATAAGTCAAAAGGCTCGAGCACATGTCAAAAAGTTTGAGCAGAAGCTTCTCTGCTCGAGCCTTAATTTATTGTTAAGTTAGACTTTAAAGTTGTGGGATTAATTCTAATTAATTCATATTTCATCTCAGACGGGCCCAAATGACCCCAGAAGACCTAAAGCACATCCAATCCTTATTAAAAGTCAATTGCTTTTATAAAAGGACGCATAAGGCCACAAAAAAACTTTCTTGTTCTCCAGTTTATTATTCTAGATCTAGTGGCGGCTTTTAGGGTTTTTGAAAGTTGTTCTGAAGCATTGAAGGTGAAGATTCTCAGAAGAGAAGTGCAGTCCAAGATGATGAAGACCACAACAACACAAATGATATCTTGCGTCGTCATGAGTAGGGCATTGATGTAACTCGAATCCGAATACTATGGTTTGATTGTTCTAAACTTTCGGAATTTAACTGTTTATGTATTTTGATTATATGATTATGAGCAATTGACTTAGATTAATTGGGTTTTAATGAAGTAAATAGTTTTTGAATGATTAATACCTTGTCTTAAATTTAATTGTTCATTAATTATATTCAACCTATTCTTAGTGTACGAGATTGGCGACTAAGGGCTTCTCGAACAATAAGAATAGAGATCATGCAATTGTTTTCAAACATTTTTCATGAATGAATGTTTTCATAGTCTATGCCTTAGGAAGACGAATTATACAACAACATTAGTTAAAAGTAGGTAGGTAGATAATTCGTGCAAACCGAAGATAGGTTATTATTAATTAAAATTCATAAAACATCTCTCTTTAAATCTGAATTAAACGAATGTTATTGAGTTTAATTCCATATGATACATAATTGTTGAAATCCCAAGGTTGAATAGTTAACCAAAGTATGAGGTTCGTGGTGAAGTCAATCCCCAAAATCTTTTCTCTCTAATCTCAATCTTTATTTATTTAATTTTATTTATGTTCGTGACACATAACAAATCAAACAACCTTTTCTCTCTAAATCAAAAATAGTATTAATTGAACACTTGATAATCCACCATAGTCCCCGAGGTTCGACACTCTCTAGGTAACCTTATCCTGCAAAAGGATTTGTTCTCTTACGAGTAGTATTTTATTATTGACATTGTCAACCACACATCAGTGGATTCCATAATGATGTTGATCCAATTGGTTTACCGATACATATCTAGAATCTAAGTTTGAATTAGACAAATTGGGATCAACAATCATTAAAATCCTATTGCAGTAGTTGTATGGCAAAGCTTTGATTACTTGACTGGTACGCTTTTGTCGGGAATGAAACTGGGGTTTCTAGCGAATATTTGGGGATTGTGGCGGTGAAAAAGACTGTGGTAGGCGTTAAGCGACAGGCTCTGTTACATCATCTCTCGATGTCGACTAACACCTCGAAGACTTCGACGCCAAGAACAATGAAACTCTAGAAGACAACTTGCTTTAACTGACCTATATCCCAATCATTCATGGCTTCAACCTTGAGATTAAGGGTACCCTATAAGACGACTCGCTTCAACTTACCAATCTCTCACTCCGATCTTCACCACTCCAACCCTAACTCCGTCGAATCCCAAGTCCAACCATGGACTCCTGATCCAAACCCATTACGATCAATGATTCATCTCAACCGATCGATGAGCTCGGAGAGGTGTAGGCGGCGCTGGCGAGATTTGAGGACAGTGACTACCAAGGGTGGAGCTAGGATTTAAATTTAGGGGGACACAGTACCAATAAATAAATAAAAATAAAAATAAAATAAAATAAAACGAAGGAGTAGAAGAAGGAAAAAAAAAAAAAAAAAAAAAAAAAAAAAGAGTAATAGGAAAAGAAAATTGATAGAATTTTGAAAGAAACAAATTAAAGTATGATTGAATAAGGAAAATTTGACTTTTTTAAAAAGGAAATTAAAGAAATTTAAAGACTAGATGAAAAAAAAAAAAAATGAAAAAGTTAAGAGAATTTTGGAAACTTAATATTTTTAGGGAGAGCATAATATACAAATTTTTATATATATGTAAAAATAATTTTAAAAATTCATATATATTATATAGGGCGGGCCAGGCCAGGAGGGCACATGGTGACTACTATCGATGGAGCAGGAACTGCCTCCCCACAAATAGGTAGGGGTGAGCAAATAATCCGTCAATCCGGTCTGAACAAATCCGATCCGTGTGGTTCGGTTCGATTTTCAGATCTCATGGTTCGGTGATGGTTTAAAAAATTTGCAATCCGGTGTCCGTGATTCGGTTAACGGATTGGACCCTGAGAAATCCGATCCGAACCGTTAACCGTTCCAAATCGAACCGTTGCCAATCTGAACCGTTAGGAAAACCGAACTGTTAACTGTTACTAAGTAATATATTAATATATTATATATATATACAATATAATGATATATCGTTTTTATTTTTACTTTTTTTTCTTTATTCATTATTTTTTTAATGTTAACCTAACCCTAACTCAGCGTCTCAGCCTCATCTCTTCATTACGACATTTCAAGTTGCGCCTCCCTCACTAACTCAGCCAGTCAGCCTCTTCTCTTCACCCTCTTCGCCTCTCCCAATCTCTCGCCTCTGTAATTGTGAGTCTGTGATCTTCGCCTCTCCCAATCTCTCGCCTCCCAATCTCTCGTCTCTCAATCCAATACATTTCAACTATCGTTCACCTAATTCGAAGCAACGGAGACCTCGGTGTATCGAAGCAACGACGACTTCTTCAGCTGGATCTACCTCTTTTCCGGTGAGTTCACAAGATTTTTTAATGAATCTACTTATTCTCCTCTTCTCTGAACAGTTTTTACATGGATCTACTTAATATGTGATTGTTTGAACTTTAGATTTATATTTATCCTCTTTTTTTTTTTCCATTTTTTGTTTCTGGATGTCTTCTTCTGTTCTTCATGCCTTTGAGTTTTAGTCGCATATCTTTTTTTTTCCCATTTTTTCATCCTTTGGTCCTTGTCTCTGGATGTCTTCCTGATGCCTGATGTTTTTGGCTATTCGAGAATACTTTAGTATTTGATTGTTCTCTGTTTTATTTAGAAAAAACAATAAATAAAAAAAAAATAAAGAGCCAAGAATGTTCCAATTGTTGCAGAAAAGGAGGATTTGATCCATCTTTGATTTGGGATTTTGGGATTTTTTTCGGCTTTGGGAAATGAGTTCTTGGTTGATTTTGTTCATCTCTGTTCTTAATTTGTGAAGCTGTCAAAGTGTTACTAGGAAATCTGTCTGAGAATGACAACTATGTTTCATATATATTAATATTTGGATGAATTAAGTACTATTTGGTATGAAGTAAATTATTGTAATTTTTATTTTCTATCACCTTTTTTTCGTGGGAATTCTTTGTGTTTCACAATCAAGAAAAAATAGTAGCCATTGATTATATATGTGTTTTTAAATATGTATAAATGTTGGACTTTGACCCACCACCTTTTTATAACTCAAATAAATCCTTTTAACTAAATGTGTAAGATTGTGATACTAAAGTATTTTCATTTGACAGAACTAATTAAACTCAATTTGTCCTTTATTTCATCCAGTTCTTTTCATCTTTCACATTTTAATATTTGACTGATACTTCTAAAGGAACTGCATCATCAAGTACTTCTGTTTCATCAATAGATTATAATTATTTTATGGCAATCTTCCACTAATTTTTTGTAACAATTTTTTTTCCTGGCAGATGACAACTGCAGAAAATTCTAATGTTCCAAGGCCTGAAGTTACTGCTGTTGGCACCAATG